CCCCGGTCACTGATGAGCCTGCCTTCGCCCCCTCCCCTTCCCCTGGGCCGGTGCCCCCGTCCCCGTGGCCTGGAGCCCCTGCAGACCCCGCCCCGCTGAGCTGAACGCCTGCCTCTGTCTGTCATCTCCCGCCCAAAGCTGCCCCTCAAGTTCTTGGTGCTCCGTAGCCTCCCTCCTGCCCCTGTCGGGGGTCCTGCCTCTCGCTCCTCTCCGCCTGGCCCGGCATCTAAGCCCCCACGCTCCTGCCACGCGCGAAGGAAGGCGTGCGTCCCCTCCCGGCTCTGTAGGCCAGGCCCCCCAACAAATGCAGGCTTTCCCAGCCCGGGGGGGATTCCCGAGCCCGAATCGTCACCACAGCCCTAGGGAGCAGGTCTTGTTATCGCCCTGTTTACAGATGGGGACACTGAGGCCCGGCGGCTCCCAAGGGCACACGGTCGGCCGGTGTGTGGACCAGGACCCCAACCCGAGATCCATTCTTTGGGGGTGTGGTCCGGCCGTCGGAGCCCATACCGCTCTCTGTTGCTCACGCCTGAGACCTGGTGTGGCCCAGGCTCCGCCCATGTTGCGGATGAACCCACTGAGGCCTGGGGGTTACGCCACTCATCCTTTGTCTGATCGTGCGGAAGGGGCGGGAACCACATTCTGGGGTCAGCAGGCAGGGGCAGGAAGCCCGGTGGTGAGGGACACAGGCTGCTGGGGCCAGCCCACTCTTGCCCCCAGGCTGTGTGGCCTTGGGCAAGTGACTCACCCTCTCTGTGCCTCCGTTTCCTCACCTGGAAACGGGAGTGTGACCGTCCCCAGCTCGGGGGTTCCGTGGGGCGTGTGTGTGGCAAGCCCGCGTCGCTGTCCCCAGGTTGAGTGACAGAAGGGGTGGCCCCTGCCCTGGGCCTTGTCAGAAGGCGAGAAGCGGAAAGGCCAGGGGTCAGTGGGGGCCTCCAGGGCCCAGCAGCCCCTCCTGACCGGGCTCAGCATCTGAGGGCAGAGGTCCCGGGAAAGCCAGGAACCATAGGAGGCGGTGACCTGTCCCTGCGGGACCCCCTCATGGGCCCGGGGCCACTGCGGGGGACCGGGGCTGCTGGTGCCCAGAGTCTGGGGGAAGGAGGGGCGTTGGTTCAAGGACAAGGGCTGTCCGGACGGAGA